CATTTCCTTTCTTAGACCATCCCAGTTTGGACACTGCAGATATGTTCCCACACCCGCATGCTACGTTCCCGTGATCACCATGCCTTTGCCTTTTCCTTCCTGCCCTTTGTTCTCCCTTTGTCATCTTCACTGCCTCGCTCTCGCGCCTTGTCTTTGGTTGCTAAGCAGCCCTTCTAGTATATAAGGACCCCTTAGGCACTCCCTAGTCCCCATCTCGACCTCTTGGTCATTGGGACTAGGTGAGTGACCATAGCGTTGTATCTCCCTCCGATTGCTAATGTATAACTTGGTCATTGGGACTAGTCTGTCGCTGCCTGCGTGAAGACTAGCTTTCGTAGGTCTCGTGCCTTCGTGCCGACCTCCGCTCTGCCCTCGTCGAGTTTTCTGTCACGTTTATCCCTCTCCCTCTCTCCTTCCCCTTCCGGCTCCTTGCCGCTCGCCTACGGGGTCGTCGCCGAACGTCGACCCGAGTCTACGCGCCTAGTCGCCGCGACATCGTTGATCCTGTACGGCGTGAACAACGTCTTTGCGACCTCGATCAGCCGCTGGGGGAGCACCGGCTCTTGTCCACACGGCCGGTGACAAGGTCGCGGTCCGCGAGCTGGATGTAGAGCCGGACGAGGTCACCCTCGCGCGGGATGACCATGCACGAGTTGTCGTCAGAGTGCACGACGGATTTGAAGCGGATGTCGGGGAAGTCCGTGTCGCGAGTTCCCGCAGTTGGAAACTCGATTTATGGCTACCTGCCACCTGACATCTGTACAATCCGTGTCCGAAAACGAAAGGCGGAGGCTTTAGATCCTCACAAGTACAAATAGCGCCACTTACGTCGTGTTTGCGGAGAAGTTGCGACTGTCATCGCTATCGTCCTAAGTATCTCGCCTCGAACTCGAGAGCGATGGCATATCTGAACTTGCAAACAGTGCGAACATCTCACGAAGGTGAGTGTATTATTTGACTACTCTTGCTGGTAAGGGTTGGGTATACGGTGCATCGTGACTGAGCTGGAGTTGGTTGCAAGCAGTAGTAGCATCGAGGCTGTAAGCTGGAAACAGGACAGCACAAACTTCAGCTGACATGGTACCCTTTGTATAGGTGCACGAAAGTGGTTTGCCACAGTTTCGCCCTTCTTCATTCCCCGACGTTCTTCTACGATGCGCCATTTGAATGTTTTAGCCCACCAACGAAGAGTATATTCATGGTCGATGGTGAGTAAAAATCGAACTCGCACCTACTATATTCGAAATCCAAGCCAAATCTTCATTTGAACGCATTACGTCTGAGGCATCCGCTCCTGAATAGCCATGGACTTGTTGCCCTCGTCGCTTTTTCCAACTCCTACCTCCGCTCCCCTCTCTCTCCCACATCTACCCTCGCCCTTATCTCTCCACATGTCTGTCCCCCAACGCACCACCACTCTCAGGCTCGTCCACGCACCGTCCAACATTAATCACGCTCCCCTTCGTGACGCACTACCTCAACCATGCGCTCATCTCGCCCCTCCGCACGCCCTCGCTCTCGTAACTCATGGTCGCCATCTCCGCCGTCTTCTTCAACACATTCAAGACGGTCAACAGCTTGCTCATGGACACGTATCTCTCCTTGCCGCCAGTGCAGCCCTTCCTGGCCGACGCCTACGCGCGCCCGACGTTCTGGTTCGGGCTCGCCCTCTGGGCGTTGGGCTTCGCAGGCAACATTAAATTCATGAGACCCTCTTCAACCTCCGCCGCAACGCCAAACAGGCCGACGACGACGGCGCGAACAATGGGAAGGCCAAGCCGAAGCAGGAGCACTATGCAATTCCGCACGGGCTGCTGTACCGCTCCATCTGGTTCGCGCTCACCGCCTCACCCGCACCGTCGTTCGTGTCAGTTGGCGCGTTTGTGGCGACGGTCAGCCTTTCGTGGCTGCAGCGGTTGCCCCGTCGGCATCTCAGGCTCGTCGCCCCATCTTGTGTTATGTTGGTACATTAGACGATCAGTTTTGTCTCACGTGCATACTTATGGCCCTACACATGTCTCTATGCCCCTCCGCCTCTTCTGCACATATTATTTCCAGTCACGTTTGCATCTGTATGCCACTGTCGAAGACCTTGATCACGATCTGCAATTACGGTCCACAACTTTCCACTAACATCCACTCATCACGTCGCTACCTGTCCGCTCACACCGTTGTCCCCCCTCTCGGATCAGTCTGATTGCACTCATGTCTAAGCCACACACACCTTCTCTTGTCGCAGACCCTTGCAACGTTCGCAAGTCGTCGTAGTTGGTAGCTGTAGGTAGTGTCTAGTAAGTACCTACTAACTTGAATCCACGACTCATAAGCGCTGGGCTGGGGACCTGACTAGTTGGCGCCCGCCAGCATTTCTCCCTCTCCTGTCTGTCGCTTCTCTCCACGCGCCCTCCTCCTCCTTCTTTGCTGTCGCCCTTCTTCCCTCCGTCGACCTCCAGAACAGAGCGCAGCCTGCTCTCTACCACCTCCCCCCACACAACATCCCCCACAATTCTGTCCACCACCATCCCTACCCACCCTTTGACCCCCGTCTCGCCCTCGACACCCCTCAGAACCAGACCTGCGTCCCAGAACTCATCCCTCCGGGCATGGACCCATCCCAGGTCGATATCCCCACTTTCTACCCCTACACCCCCGGCGAGGTCAAGCACCGCAAGAAGCTCGCCGCTGAGCTCGACATGACCCCCGGGGGTGTCCAGGTGCGTCCCTCCCCCTCTCGTCCCGTTCGCGTCCCATCCGCCGATCAATGATTCGACGCATCGCACCCCTATGCCTGCCCACATGGCTGCGTTCCCCCCAGAAAAAACCCCTTCTAATCCCTCAATTCTTCCCTAGGTATGGGACGCGTCAAGCGTCTAACCTCCGCACTCTGGCCCATCTCCCTCTGCGCAGGCCTCCATCTGTCTCCGTCTCTCGCCCCACCTGCCACCACCTTCGGGTTCCCTGGCCACCTGGTTAATGCAAGAGTGATGAAGCTGAGACCGCGACGGGAAGAGAGGGAGGGACGACACCAGCTGAGCAAGCGCGACAGGTGAGTATCCCATCCGCATCCACCCGCTCCGTTCACTTCTAACCTCCGCCTCCTCGCCTTCAATCACGATGTCCTCCGTACAATCATTGACTACTGCCCTGTCGACGATGCACTCCAAACTGTCTTGACGTGCAAGGCCGCTTATGGCTTTGCTATGCCCCACATTGTGATCGACATTTCCTTCAGTGACCCCGGTGTCGACGACGACCCCGACCCTCTTAAGAATTTCCGCCAGTATCATGCTCAACAAGTGTCGCGGCGACTAGGCGCGTAGACTCGGGTCGACGTTCGGCGACGACCCCGTAGGCGAGCGGCAAGGAGCCGAAAGGGGAAAGAGAGAGGGAGAGGGATAAACGTGACAGAAAACTCGACGAGGGCAGAGCGGAGGTCGGCACGAAGGCACGAGACCTACGAAAGCTAGTCTTCACGCAGGCAGCGACAGACTAGTCCCAATGACCAAGTTATACATTAGCAATCGGAGGGAGATACAACGCTATGGTCACTCACCTAGTCCCAATGACCAAGAGGTCGAGATGGGGACTAGGGAGTGCCTAAGGGGTCCTTATATACTAGAAGGGCTGCTTAGCAACCAAAGACAAGGCGCGAGAGCGAGGCAGTGAAGATGACAAAGGGAGAACAAAGGGCAGGAAGGAAAAGGCAAAGGCATGGTGATCACGGGAACGTAGCATGCGGG